CTGAGCCAAAACACAGGTGTAAACATTCTCCTACAGTATAAGAAGTTTAAGAGGCCTGAATGATGATTTCAGTTCAATCCTTCATGAACTGAAGCCCAGAGAGCGGAAGTGACTCACCCAAGGTTACATTTACCTTGTGGTTTAAAAGATTTCATTCACTTCTCAGCTTGGGAGGCACTTCATTCATTTTCAGTGTGACACGTGGTTGCATTTTACACCTTGACTTTACAGTCTGGTCTTGCAAATAACCAATTATCCAGTTGACTCAGAAGAATAATAATGATGGTGAGCTGATTGCAGGGAAGGCCAATTTTTCTTCCCGCTCGTGTCAGCTTTTCAGGTGCCAATCCCTATGGTTGTATGTCATCCAGATCCCACATTCTCTTCCTTCATAGTTTGAAATTCCAATAGCAGGTGAGCCAAGTGTAAAAATGATAAATGCAAATGTCAACAAATGCATTTTTAGCCCTTCAAGGCTACAATGAAGGGCTAAAAATAGGGGGATTTGGGGAACTATCTCTGGGTACCAGCACGTCATACAGCCCATGGCCTGGGTGTTTTCTGCCCCCTGCCCATAAGACAAAGGGGATAGGACCAGCCAAAATGTGTATACTTATCATAAGACGACTGACTTAGACCCTACAGTGAGACTGAGGAAATTTCTTGTGAAGGAAGAAATTTTAGGCTGTGAAGAAAAGTTCAGCTAAATTGGAAAAAAAAAAAAACCTGCACCAAGATTCTGTTTCTCCACTTGGTTTAGTTAGGCTTTGATGTATTTTAGCCTATTTGTCCTTATTTTAAGGTTCATAATGCTCACTCTGTTGAGTTTCCAGAGGTATGAAAAGGATCAAATTATTTCTTTAAGTCAACTAAGAGGGACAGTTGTGTTGAGACAGTAGATTAAAAGGTTCTTTGTAGTTTTGTTTCAACATAAGAGCATTTGGTTTTTTATCTGACCGAATTATGATTGTGTTAATATTTCTTTGCTTATTAAAAATGAGGTATTCTATTTTTTTTGAATTTTATTTTATTTATTTTTTTATACAGCAGGTTCTTATTAGTTATACATTTTATATGTATTAGTGTATACATGTCAATCCCAATCGCCCAATTCATCCCCCCCACCCCACCCCCACCACTTTCCCCCCTTGGTGTCCATACGTTTGTTCTCTACATCTGTGTCTCAATTTCTGCCCTGCAAACCAGTTCATCTGTACCATTTTTCTAGGATCCACATATATGCGTTAATATACGATATTTGTTTTTCTCTTTCTGACTTACTTCACTCTGTATGACAGTCTCTAGATCCATCCACATCTCAACAAATGACCCAATTTCGTTCCTTTTTATGGCTGAGTAATATTCCATTGTATGTGTGTACCATATCTTCTTTATCCGTTCGTCTGTCGATGGGCATTTAGTTGCTTCCATGACATTGCTATTGTAAATAATGCTGCAGTGATCATTGGGGTGCATGTGTCTTTTTGAATTATGGTTTTCTCTGGATATATACCCAGTAGTGGGAATGCTGGGTCATACGGTAATTCTATTTTTAGATTTTTAAGGAACCTCCATACTGTTCTCCGTAGTGGCTGTATCAATTTACATTCCCACCAACAGTTACAAGAGGGTTCTTTTCTCCACAAAAAAAGAGGTATTCTATTTTTATTTCCAGTAATTTACAGGCATTTTGATCACAAGTAAAATTGGATGATTAATTCTACTTCCCAAGAATTATGCTTTCTGAATCAACGAGGGTTTATTTTAACAAATGTTTTTTTCAGTTTAGGGTTCTACATGACGATCATACTCTCTAGGGTAGAGCGTGCGGGAAAAGGTGGCTGACCTTGAGAAATATACAATTGCTGTGCTGGAGTCCTTTCAGGGTTGAAATGGAGTAATAAAATCAGAAATCACAGAACGGTTTCTAATTTCAAAGACAGACTGTCTGACCTTGCCTAAGTAGTTCAGGTAGAAACCAAGAAGGAACGGTGGAGAAGGAAATTGAGTTCCCCTCCAGGTGACACACAAGCGCAACATTAATACGTATGGGATTACAACGTGGGCCATTGATTCACTTTAGGGTCCAGGAGATGTTTTTCTCCTGTATTTGGATTCTTATTTGAAAAAGTTCTGATTAAATCTCTCTCTCTACCTGCCTTATACTCACACACAAATGAAATATCTCCTCCCATGTTTACTCTTGGTTCTCTATCTTCCTGAACTGGAGCCTACAATTTAAGATAAAAGAATTCTTTCTGAAATGTATTTGGTTCTTGGGCTCTTTTTGAACAAGTCTTTTCTTGAAACCATGAAGGGGACTTTCCAGATGCCTAGAATCACCAGTATTTTGGATTCTTTGCTACATGTTTCATACCCCAGAGGAAGGAAACTTACATGGATTAAGGACTTCCGTTCTGCCCGGCTTTGTCACATTTGTCAGCAATCGCGTCCCAACTGCCTCTTTCAATGGATGATTGTTCATTCTCCCTGTAGCGCTTCTTGCACCCTGGCTGGACCTTCTGTGGGCTAGTAGGCAGCGCTGTGGTTGGTGGCTGAGGTGAACTGTTCTCCAGTCTGTCAGCCTCTGCTAGATGGAAGTTCTGAGACGTGTTTTTGTTTTTTTAGGTTGCATAATATTAAACATCAGTAGGTTAACTGGGAATGTTTATTTTTAGAGGTGAAATGGTTTTATTTCAATGGCTAGGAAAAGGAGTTAAAAGTGTGAAAATGTGTGATGACCACAGACAGGCGAAGGACAGAGAACATTCTAGGTTGATCTGTATTTGCCCTGATAGTGAAATCATTGCCTGGGTTTTTTTTGTGTTTACCTGATTGAATGAGGGAGGTTCCTAATTTTATAGTAATCACTGTGTCGGTTTGGAGGAGCTCAGAATGTCTTTTCTCTTTCTTTTTTTGGTGAGTGTTTAAAATTTGGTACTTAGGGAGGTTAAGCATTACACATCCAGGGTGTCTTAATTCTGCAAAGGTGGTCAAGTCATTTCCAGCACAACAAGAAATGGGGACCATGAGAATCTTGAGCAGATGAGCAAGTGGGAATGATCCTCTGAGTTCAAATCTGGATTACTTCCTAGCTGCACGATGGGCAAGAATTTAGCCTGAGCCTCAGTTTCCCAATCTGTAAATTGTGCATTACAACATTTTGAGGCTTAAGGAGATGATGATTGTAAAAGGCCTGGAACAGCTCCTGTGCCCAGAGAAGGCACCGTACACATTTAGAGGCATTTTCAGTAGTCATGTTTTCAGTAGTGAGTGAGAGCCTCACTCACCTCAGCCTTGAGGTATGGGATTAGGATCAACAGAATCAAGTCACCCCAATGTAAATGGATTTTTTTCTTTGTGCCCCACTGATACCTAGAGTTAGGGATGGCCTAAACCTTTGAGCAGAGCTGTGGAGTGCAGGCTCACCTCCTTTCCCCAACCCCTCCCTTCCCCTCCCCTCCTCTCCCCTCCCCTCCCCCCAGGGTCCTCCTGGGCTGGCTTTGGAGGCACAGGTCAGGTCCTCCAGGTGACCTGTGTCTACTTCCTGCGGCCCTGGCTGCCCCTCTCCCGCTAGCTCTGCCTCTTATTGGAAGAAGTGATGAAAGGGGGTGTAGCAAAGGAAGCTGCATCCCTGAAGGTGGAGCCCTGTGAGGACATTTTGCTCTTCATTCCAGCCAGGCCTTGCTTCCTGTCTTCGCTAATAACCAAAGATCCTTGTCAGGAGCGTAAAAATTACAAGTATTTTTGTCGTCAGAGTGCTGGCAGTTATGTGTATCCATCTAAATAATAGAGCCTTTGAATAAAATGTGGCAAGGATTAGGATGACCTCTTGTTAATGCCTGAAAAAAGAACAGGTGTGCCTCAGGGCTCTGCATCTTCCCCACCTGGGTTTCCATGTAGACTGCTTTTTGCTCCAACTGAAGCTGGTTATTTGTAATTTTCCCACATAGCTAAGCTTCCGGGAGGGTGGTCAGTGGAGCAATGCAGAGAATATAGTTTGCAGCAACAGCCTTGCTTTTTTTTTCAAATCAAAATCCCCCTTTAGGTCTTCCCTGGTGGCGCAGTGGTTGAGAGTCCGCCTGCCGATGCAGGGGACACGGGTTCGTGCCCCGGTCCGGGAAGATCCCACATGCCGCGGAGCGGCTGGGCCCGTGAGCCATGGCCGCTGAGCCTGCGCGTCCGGAGCCTGTTGCTCCGCAACGGGAGAGGCCACAACAGTGAGAGGCCCGCATACAGGAAAAAAAAAAAAAAAAAAAAAATCCCCCTTTGCCTTTCCTTTAAACCATGTATTAGAGGGTTTTATCGGAAAAGGGAAAATGGGCTGTGCCCTGCTGTTGCTAGGTAACCAGAAAAATAACAAACCCAGTCAGTTGTTACCAGAATGATTTTCCCCAGGAACCTGGTTCCTTTTGCTAAGTGATTTGTGTGGTGTTAACAGATTTGCATAATGGTGAGGCTGGAGGGTCTCCGTCCTTCATCTCCTTTCTCCCCTCCCCTCCCCCCATATCAGGAAAGTCCCAGGTACCTTATTTGAGTCTTCCCGATCAGTTACTGACTTTGAGTTACTCTGAGGGAAGATGCGGTGCAGATGCAAATATGGCTTATTGCACACAACCGGAGTAGATAACTGTATTTCTAAGACGTTGAACCCATTTTTAAAAATAACTGGGCACCCCCTTCTCCGCAGGTGCAGTGTTTGAACAGCCCACAAATGGTAACAAGTTTTTGTTTGACGGTTTTGCTGGGAGTATTTTGTAAAGGTTATTTTTAGCCACAGGAGATGTTTGTACACCCAACCAACCATTTTAGTGATTTTGATTAAATCATTAGATATCCATTTCATTCCTTTCTCACTGGACTCGTCATTCTCTCCGTGGCTAGCTCTATAGCCACAGCATTTCCCAATCTTCGAGGGCTCTGACTCTGATGCATAGTTTCACCTGACTTGTAGGTCTCAAGCTGACTCTCCTGTGACCTGTGCTGTCTGTTTGTTGCAGATTTGGACCTCTCTCAGACTGCATGCCCGCCCCCCCAGGACTCAAATCCGCAGGGCCCTCAGCTGCAAACGTTCATAGCAGAAGCAAAGCTAAATCTACAGAGAGTAACCAGACAAGATGGGGAAACTGGAGATGGAGCAGAAGAAACTATTGTTTACCTCTAATTGTGTTGTTATTTTTCCAAATGAAACAAAATACAGGCATTTGGGGGAGAATTTCTTTTTTCCTTTCCTGATGTGTGTGTGACTGTGTCCAAATTGCTTTAGGAGTAATGTTTAATATTTCGTGCAAGTTTATTTTGGGGGCATGAGTCTAATAATTAAATTATTGAAAACAACTGTTTGTATCATCATTAACTTTATCACACCTAATTCCAGACTCCTGGAGGAGAAATTAACTTAGATAAGCAGAAATATGTTCAAAGTTGTTATGACCCTAGAGTAAAATTCCATATTGTATTTTCTACGGGATCTTGTTTTTTG